TATTGAGAGCATGGTTATAGAAGTTTAAATTGGGCATTTATGTCACCAGTATCCTTTTTTCTGTTATTCAGAAAAGACTGGATCAAAAATCTGGATATTGTACCACAATTTATAAGAAAAGCCCACTCAGCTGTAATAAAGGGTGATAATATGTTGCGCATTTCATGTATACAGTTTTGAGAGTTTCATACTTGATAGGCAGTTTTTATTTGATATATAAAAATTTTAGTAGCTTGTAAATGTATCAGTTTTTACTTAATGCTATTGAATTACTTTAAGAAGCTTCTCTGTACATCAAAGTTGTAAAAACTATTATTTGATGTAGCAGTTGCCAAGGTAACCATCTTAATGAGCAATTAAGTGTGTATAGTCAGTGGAACTCATCCATGTGTAAAATTTCAACTCCAGTAGTTCAGAAGTAAACACATCATTATTTTCATGTTTTAAAATGAAATTAAAATTTTAGCCATGTGGAGGAGTCAAAGACATCAGTTCTCACTTTTTTACTGAAATGTCTGATTTGCATTTTAGGTCTAGTTGAGGTTTTCAGGGTGTTCTAAATAATAGTTTTCTCTTCATCCCATAAATCTCAAACCAGTAAAGAGCAAGCCATCAAAGTCTGGCAGATAGAGATAAAATTATCCGTCCTATGATGGGTAAAACTGAATAAGGCTAACAGTTTGACTCTTTGATTACAAGTCAATCTGCTCCAAGTCTAGATCACAGGGTGACTTAACTGGGGGAGATTCCGAAAACTCATTTACTCAGAATCACTCCTTTGAGTGCGTTGATGTGCTTGGAGCTCCAGTAATGGAAAGAGAGGAATGGACCTTCTAGAAGGCAAATGAAGCTTGATGTGTGTATGGTTTTGTTGTTGTTGGTGGTGGTGGTGGTGGGGTTTTTTTTTTTGGAGGTGGGGAGAGGTAATTAGGCTTATTGATTTTTTAGAAGAAGTACTGGGAATTGAACCCAGGACCTCATGCATGCTAAGCATGCGCTCTACCACTTGAGCTATCCCCTCCCCCCTTGAAGTGTGAATGTTTACCAGATGAAAGCAGGAGAAGAGTGGACCGAAACAGAACCATTCTACAGCCATCTGGAAAAATCAAAACCTGAGCCACACTAGGTGAATCCTTCTGCACAAATCACAAAGAAATGTCCCCGTTGTCATCTGGGGAAGATCAAGTGGAGGGAAAGAGATGGGCAGATGCTCTCTTCCCATTATATTTTTTAAAAAGTGAACTTATTAAAATGAAATGTGTTAGTATATCACAGATACAGAAAAATGCACAAATCATAAATGAATTTGCTAGGTTTTACAAAATAAACACACCCCTGGAACCAGCACTCATATTTTAAAAAGAAAAGGACAATACCCAATATCCCAGAGGTCCTTCTCATGCCGGCTGATCCACAAGCAACTTAACTGCGTGATAATCAAAGTTCAGAACTCCTCAAAGGATGAAAACAAGATCTAGCATACAATACAAATTCAGAATGTCCAGAAACCAATGAAAAATTATCATTCATGAAAAGAAGCAGAAGATTTGACACATAAACAGTAGGTAAATCAATGGAAAGAGACTCAGATAACAGAGAAGGTAGAATTATCAGGTAAAGACCTTAAAAAAGTTATTGTTATATGTTCAAGAATACAAAGAAAAGCATTAACAAAATGATGAAAGAAATGAAAGATATTCTTAAAATGTAATTTGTAAATGGAATACTACTTAGCCATAAAAAAGAATAAAATAGTGCAATTTGTAGCAACATGGATGGATCTAGAGATTGTCGTTCTAAGTGAAGTAAGCCAGAAAGAGAAAGAAAAATACCATATGACATCACTTATGTGTGGAATCTAAAAAAAGGACACAAATGAATTTATCCATAAAACAGAAACAGACTCACAGGCATAGAGAACAAACTTATGGTTATCAGAAGGCAAAGGGGGTGGGAAGGGATAAACTGGGAGTTCAAAATTTACACCTCCTGGAGAGCAATGGAGATGTTAGCTATCTTGATTGAGGTGGTGGTTTCATTGGTATATACATGTATCAAAATTCATCAAATTGCACATCTGATTTATATGTAGCTTACCATAAAGGAATCATACCACAATAAAAGTGTTTAAAAATGGAATTTGTAGACATGAAAAATAAAATACATGATTTGGATAATATATCAGAGGGACTGTCAGATTAAACGCTGCAGAAGAAAAAAAAATGGTGATACTAAAGATACAACAATAGAAATCATCCACAATGAAACACAGTGGAAAAGAAACAGAAAAACAAAAACAAAAACACCAGAGCCTCAGCGATTTGCGGGACAATATCAAGCTGTCTAACATACAGGTAGTGGAGTTCCGGAAAGATAAAAGGGAAACAGGGTATTATTTGAAGACGTAATTGCTGAAAATTTCTAAATTTAAAGAAGCTACAAACCCATGGATTTAAAAAGCTCAACAAATGCCAAGCAGAAGAAATATAAAGAAAATGGCACTGATGCACATCTTAATCAAATTGCTGAAAACCAGGGATAAAGAGAAAATCCTAAAAGCAATGAGAGTTGAGAGAAGGGTGGAGAAAGATTATATACAAAAAAACAAAGGTAAGAATGACAGAAGATTTCTTGACAGAAACTGTGAAAGCTTCAAGATAATGGAACAGCATTTTTTAAGCGTTGAAAGACGAAACTGTGAACCTGTCATTCGAAAGTGTCTTTAAAAATGAAGGTGAGATAAAGACCTTTTAATATTTAAAATAATCTGAGATAATTCATTGACATTAGACTAACTCTACAAAAAAATGTTAAAAAGAAGTTCAGCAGACAAAAAGGAAAATGATACCAGATAGAATATAGATCTACACAAAAGAATAAAGAACATTGGGCAAAGTAGACAAAGTAAAAATATTTAACCTCAGACAAAATAAGCTTTTGAATGAGGAATATTACCAGGAATAAAAGGAAGGTTTCATGATGATAAAAAGCTCAATTACGTAAGACATAAAAATCTTAAATGTGTATATACCTGATAAAAGAACTTTGAAAAACATGATGCAAACCTGTTAAAACTGAAAGGATAGATAGAAGAACCCACAATTAGAAGTAGAAATTTCAGCCCTCAATTCTCAGTAATAAGTAGAAAGTGGATAAAAAATCAGAAAGAATATGGCAGGCTTCAAAAGCTCTATCAAATTGGCACAATTTGCATTTATAGAACATTCCACCAACAATAGCAAAATGCACATTCTTTTCATGTTTACATAAAACACTCACCAAGATAGAACATATTCGTGGTTATAAAATAAGTCTTGAAAAATTTAAAAGAAATCATAATGAGACTTTTCAGATCACAAGGAAATTTTAATTAAAAAATTATCTGGAAAATCCCCCAAATATTAGGGAAAAAAGCAACATCTTTCTAAGTAACTCAAGAAGAGAACACAAGGGAAATTGAGAAATTGTTTAAACTGAAAGAAAGTGAAAATACAATATATCAAAATTTGTGGGGAAAGCAAGTACCATCATTAGAGGTAAGTTAATGGCATTAAATGTGTTGGAAAGGAAGAAAGTCTAAAGTTAATGATTTAAGCTTCTACCCTAAGAACTAGGTGGGGGAGAGGCGGGTGGAGGAGCAAATTAACCAAAAAAAGCAGATGAAAGGAAATAGAGATATGAATTTAAATCAATAAATAGAAAACAGACTCAAGAAGAACACAAAACCAAAAGTTGATTCTCTGCAAAGATGAGTGAAATTCATAACCCTCTATCAGACTGATCAGGAGAAAAAGGAAGAAAAGGTACAGATTACCAATATCAAGGAAGAAAAGAAATATCAACAAAAATCTTATAGGTGTTAAAATAATAATGGAATATTATGAGCAACTTAATGCCAACAAATTAGACAATTTATATTGAATGGTCAAATTCCCTGAAAGATATAAACTACCACAGCTCAATCCAGATCTAAATCACCTGCAATTAAGTGTAAAATCCATACAATGAATATTATAAGGTACTGTTGAAAAAAATTAAAGGAGACCTAAATAAATGAAGAGGTTTGTCAGGTTTATGAATCAGAAAAGCCAATTGTTTTTGAGGGGGGAGGTAATTAGGTTCACTTATTTATTTTTAGAGGAATAACTAGGGATTGAACCCAGGACCTTGCAGCATTGCTAAGCATGCACTCTACCACTTGGGCTATACCCTCCCTCTGAGAAGAGCCAATATTTTTAAGATGCAGGTTATCCCCCAAAGGATCTATAGATTCTGCAATTATATGCAAAGTTCAGAAGGCAATTTTATAGAAACTGACAAGCAAATTCTAAAATTGATATGAAAATGCAAAATCCCAGAATTGCCAAATCAATTTGAATTAAAAAAAAAGGAAAAGAGCAAAGTTGGAGGAAAATAGTTACACGATTTTCTTAAAACAGTGGTTCTCAAGCCAGGATACCATTGCCCCCTCGTGACTTCCAGCAACGTCTGGCAACATTTTTTTTATTTTCATGACTTGGGGAGGAGGGGCTACTGGCATCTAGTAGTTAGAAGCCAGGGATACTGCTAAACATAAATGATAGTGTTTTCAGTAAATGGTGCTGGAAAAACTGGATATCCATATGAGAAAAAATGAACCTCCATCTATTTCATACTATATACTAACAACTAACCTAAAATGGGTCATAGACCTCAATGTAAAGCAAAAATTCTAAAACTTCTAGAAAAAATTATAGGAGAAAATGTCTGCAACATTGGATAAGGCAAGAATTTCTTCAATAAGAAAAACAAAAAGGAAAAGTTGATCATATGGATTTCATCAGAATAAGAACTTTTGCTCTTCAGAAGTCACTGTTGAAAAATTAAAAGGCAAGCCACAGCTGAGAGAAAATCTCTGCAAAACATACATATATATAATGAAAAATTTGAATGCAGAATCTAAAGAACTCTTACAGCTCAAGAAAAACAAACAAAAAACCTTGATAATAAATAGGCAGCTTTGAACAGAGGTTCCACCAAAGACAATATATGGATATCAGTTAAGTCAATATGTATATGAAAAGGTGTATAGCATAGGTAGTGTTTACATATTTGGGAAATGTAAATTAAAACTGCATTGAGATGCCGTTGCACATGCACTAGTGTAGCTGACAAGGTCAAGTTTGGTTGAGGGTGTCGAGCAGCTGGAACTCTCATGCATCAAATAATACGGACATTGGAAAACACGTTGGAAGTTTCTAATAAAGCGAAACACACACTTCCACAACCCAGCAACCTTGCTGGTGTGTATTTATCCACAAGAAATGAAAAAACAGTCTTCACAAGGACTTGTATATGAATGTTAACAGTTTTTTTCACAATAGCCCCAAACTTCAAATAATCAAAATGTTCATCAATTGGTAAATTATAAAAAGAGTGTAGAATATTCATTCATGTCTTCTAAAGAAATTAAGAGGGAAATATATGTGTACGGGTGTATATGTATATGCACGTATGAAAGGGTCAATAAATAAGTAGGCACGTTTACCCACATACTAGTATTTCCCCATTCTCTTCAGTCTTTCCTTCTTATAGGTGGAATTTATGTATGATGTCAGTTCCCTTTGGCCTAAAGAACTTCTTTCACCATTTCTTTTGGTGCGGATCGGCTGACGATAAACTCCATCAGTTTGAGTCTCTCTGTAAATGTATTCATTTCAATTTCTTTTTTCTTAACAGCTCTGTAACTTACATACTTCACAATTCACCCAACGACAGTGCACAATTCAGTAGCTTTTAGTGTATTCACAAAGCTGTGCATCCCTATCCATCAATTTCAGAGTGTTTTCGTTACCCTCAGAGAAATCCTGCACCTCCTGGCCGTGACCCCTAGCGCTACCATTCCTTCCAGCCCTAGGCAAGCACTCATCTGCTTTCTGTCTCTATAGATTTGCCTCTCCTGGATATTTCTTAGAAATGGAATCATACTATATGTAGTCAGTTTCTTCCGAGCGTCCCGATTCTGGTACCACCTGTTGCAGACTGGATTCCCAGAAAGCAGACACTGAGATGAAGACCAGCATGCAGGTATTTATTAGAGAGTGGACTTGGGATCCACACCTGGGAGGACAGGGAAGGCAGCAGACTCGGGCTGAGGGAGGAGCTGGGCTGCGGGCTGTCACCCGAGGCCTCAGTCAAGCACACAGGGCGCTCTGAAGCTGGGATGGCCTTTTGAGTTGTCTGGAGCTGGCCGATGGGGTCAGGCCTTTATATACCCACATTAACCAGGCACTGGATGAAGACTTCCACTAGGAAGGGGTTGTGACATAGGAAGAGGGGACAGTCTTCAGCAAGGACAATTTCCAGAGCAAGGCTGACAGCTCAGAGCAGCCAGTCAGTCGATACAGCCCCAACAATGGAGAGCTGAGTTCTTCGATCTGGAAGGGGTACCTGGGCGGTATATCACCACATCCATTACATGAGCTGCGTTAGGAATGACGGTAGGGGAAAGAGTGTCTCCCCCAAAGGGTCTCATCAAGACAGGGCTTCTCTCTCTCTCTCTCTCTTTTTAATTCTTTTTTTTATTAAACTATAATTGATTTACAATGTTAGATTCAGGTGCACAGCAAAGCAATTCACTTACACATATACATACAAATATGTATATTTTCAGAGTCTTTTCCATTACAGGGCTCCCTTAAGTATTTTTGCTTGGAGGAAAATCTATTTTTGGTGATGTCTTGAGTAGGGGGAGAAGAGGCCAAGAGTCCAGTTGAGGTATTGCCAACTAATTGAAGGTTTCTTAAGTCAGCACTATCTTGGAAAGGTATCTAAACACAGCCAGGGAGACATCACTAGCCCTTTGCAAATGCCCTGTAAAGCGGTATTACTCCGGCTATGGAAGCTGAAGGCCAGAAAAACATTTTCCACTGTGGGCATCTATGACCCCTTCTCCTTCAGTGTAAGGCAACCAACCAGTGAAGAGTGGTTATTAACAGCTAATAAGTTTAGAGGGGAGGGTATAGCTCAGTGGTAGAGTGCCTGCTTAGCACGCACAAGGTCCTGGGTTCAATCCCCAGTACCTCCTTTAAAAATACATAAATAAATAAACCTAATTACCACCCCCAACCAAAAAAAATATTGAAAAAAAAACAGCTAATAAGTTTAAAAGGACAGTGGCAAAAAGAGGTCACTTGAATAGCCTTTAAAAGCTAAATTAATTTCTCTCCCTTCTGTTTAAATATCTTCCTCCAGGTACTTTCCTGCATTCTTTTTTCCAGGAGAGAAAATTTCCTGTTCTTTTTTTCTCCCCTACTTTCCTGTTCTCTTTTTTCCAATGGTGCCTATTGTTTTT